CTTGTTCGATCATCTTGGATTATCGATCAATTTATCGATAATCAACAGTTACCTTATATGACTTTTACGTTAGCGATAATCGATCATTTTATCGATCAATGAATTATCGAACAACTCATCGATTAAAATACTTAACATTTAACTGATTTACACTGAAGAATTATCTGACAGCTTATCGATAATCATTTGATCGATCAGATGATCGATCAACACACTTAACCAATTTAATCTAACTTTGTTATCATCAAAACCATAATCCTAACATAATTAAATAAGAAAATTATTGCACTTGATATTTTTCCCTAAAATTTTAGTAGATAACATTGTGAATTAATTTTTAGAACACTGAGAGAAGTAACCTTTGAAGGAGTTAGCATGTAATGCAACAAAGCAGGAACTAGCAAAGTAGTTTACCATGCACAAAATGCAAACTTCATTTCTTTTAAATTTTTATCCAAAATTAAAAAAAATTCCCATTTCGGCACGTACATTTGTTTTTTTTTTTTTTTGGGTTAAGTTAGGTATTTTAAGAACATTAGGCGTTAAACATTTAACACGCCTGTTGTTGGCAAATTAAATTTTTTAACACATATTTATAGAACAAAAGGATACCGTGATAGATAAAACCTTTAATATAGTTTGTTGTCACATTCTTTAAAATCAATTTAATTAAGATAGGTCCACTATTTCTCTGTTTGTTATCATATTTAGTAAAAGCTTGAGAATTGCTAATTTGTTAGATTCTATGCTGATTAATTAAGTAGTAATATAACGTATCATGACTAGATGATGCTAGGAGGGCGTGTGAGAAGTATAAGAATGTGGTGGAACAATTTTTGGAGTTTGCTCGAAGAAAAATATCAAATAAAAATGAGTTGTATTTTTGTATCTGTGTCAACTATTAAAATGAGAGCCTGTAAAAGACATTCTTCTCCCCTATTTTTTTATAGGACGCCAAAATCATCAATCACTTGTCAAAGGAAGAAAAAAAAGGAAGAGTTGAAGTTTGAAATAATTTAAATAATTCACATTGTTTTATTATTCATTTGGTTAATTATTTTTAAGAAAAAATTTAAGTTAAGTTCCTTATATCTATTATGTTAAATTTTCCAATCATACATGATTGTATGTTCCTTTTTTTTATTCCATGTGAATTATAATTAAATATTATTAAATGTTAATATTTTGAAAATAGGACACAATCATATGTGATTGGAGAATTTGACAAAATGGATATAAAAAACTTGATGTAAATATTGTCCATACTTTTATTGTCCATTGGCGAAATAAGTGGACTTCCAATATTTTAAGAATTGCAAATTTTATTTTTCTTGAAACTTTATTTCTACCGTAACTATCCTAGCCACTAGTCATGTTAGGTGACTTTTAGAGAAATAAACAATTTACTTTCACTCAATTAGAAATTCTTTTTTTATTGGTTATTGAAAGTGGTAGAGTGAAATACTTACTTTGCCTATTCTCAATGGAAATTTATCCATTGGCTATTAGGGAGTTACGGTTGAAATACTCACCTCAACTTCCTAATAGAATATTTTCAGCCTTTTATTATTTTCCAATATTCATTTATTCTTAAAATTATTAGAGCCTCATTCGAAATGATGAATACATGTTCATCTTCTGCAACCAATTCCATAGCCGCCATTATTGCTTCTCATCTCGAAACTCTAGAAGTTATGGTTGATAAGGTTGCCACCCTTGAAGCTGCTTCTGAAAGAAATAGAAGAACAAACAACGATCTCATTGACAACCCAAAGTCTTATAGGCGTAGGCTTCCCATACAAGGATGGATTCTCAGAGCATAGAAGTACCTTAGATTTGATTTTTAGTTTGCATCGATGTACTTGGAAGGAGACACACTAGACTTGTTCGTTTGGGTCAATATCAAGCAAACAATTCTCTACGGGGATGATGAGTTGAATAAAGCTTTGCAAAAAAACAAAATCATGGCCCTTCGGAATGGCAGAACCCATATGAATTCTTATGCAATATCAAGCAAACGTATTCTGTGCAAGAGTATCGATGCATCGGAATTCACACGGCATTCCGCTTGCGTGAAAAATTGGCTAAAATATTGCCTCTTATGTGTCTCCATTAACAGCCTCAAAGAACTAAAATCAGACCTAAGGATTCATAAACCTTGGTATGTATATGAGGCCACAAGTTTGGCCCAAGAATGCCAAAGGTCTTGCAGCCTACCCTACAGTCATTTCACATTCCTATCATGGCCTTTCTTCATTCCTATATGGAATAATTTTCCTAAGGTGAGGCAGCGGACAGGTTTCAAACTAGTACTGGTGTACTGTCTTAAAGAAGCAAGAAAGTCAGTCTCACATACGATGATGGATTAGTGAACAGAGGTCCTGCGAAGCCGCTTGTTATGTTATAACGAGGATAAAAGTTGTATTGATACTCTTTTGTAGGTGGAAAGTCGTGCATAGAATCTAAGCTTTAGGCCTCGAATGGACAAGTGCCAAAAAGTATAGACATTTAACATGTGTGTTGAGATTGGTCAAATTGAAAGCAATAAATAGGTAGAATGATATATAAAAGTATCATAATTACTGAAAGATATGTTTCCAAATAATAATGAACTTTCAACTAAGATGAAATATAAAAAGATACATGCTTACTCTAATAATAATTACATATTATATAAAAAGAAGTGTGAAGTACTACATGAGTGTTTGAAATGTTGGACACAACTATACAAATTGAAGGACATTGGTGGTAATGAAATCACTAAATGGTCTCCTTCAAAGGTGTTGTACTATCTTGCAATAATACAATGGTTTGTTTGCCAATACAATATAATTATATAAACAAGAGAGAATCGCACAAAAAGAAGTTTAAAGTTACTAAATTTCAAATCAAGTTCGGTAATAACACTTTAATAGGTTATCACAATACTAAATTTGTAAATAACAACACATTTTTATAAAAAAAATTTTATTTGGAATTCAATAATATCAAACTTCTTTTTGTAGGATTCTCCCTATAAAAAATGACATCTTGAATAGAGAATATCTCATAAGGAATTTCAACACCCAACTGATGATGATCTTCTCAATGGAATAAACTATATGAAATGTTTTTTCAATCAATCCTTATGATAATCTCAATACCATACATAGTGCATGTTAGTTCTTTTGATGATTTACAACCTACATTCTTGGTTCTGTATGAGATACAAGTATATCATGAATAATTTCAAGACCAGAACAACAAGGAAATGATGTTGATGCCTACTCTTATAGGAGGAATATGTGTAGATGTGTTAGATGCATATAAACAAAAGTGTTTTAAGTTGTGCTCTATGTATGATCTTCACTACAATAAATAATTTTTCTGGATATGAAAAATCATCAGTGTATATATAGGAAAAAATATAAAGGTTCTTTCGATACTCCAAATAACACTAGTTAATCAACAATCATTTTTTCTTGTATCAAAATCAACAGAAGTCATATTAATCACTCTTGTTAAACTAATACGTTCCTTGCTTCAGGCAAAAAAAAAAAAAAAACGCTTTTTATTAAATTTTGTCCAATTTCGGTAAAATTTTTGAATCACACCAAATCTGTTTTTTTTTTTTTGGTCACCAACACATCAAATCTTTTTCTATTCTCGATTTTGCAAGCTTAGTGCGTTTTTTCGGATTGGAATCTTACTAGGGCAGTGTTAAACAAATCACACATCTGTCACTTATTTTCAAAATAGCAAACACACAACATATTTTCAACATATGTATCTGTAATAATATTTAAAATAAACGAAATATTACTGTAACCAATGGTGAAATTGGATTTAGTATATATAACATATTAAATATCTTCCAAACAAGGTTGAGGGCTCTGACAATGTTGAATCAACCTTCTTCCTATCTAATCAAAGAAAATTTTGTAATAAACAAAGCAAACCAAAAGATTTGACGCAAGAAAATTAAAAGTACCTAGCCAGAATTTATTTGTCATGGACATGCAGGAGGAAAACAGTACAACGCAGGGCAAAAGTTTGAACATAAAAACCAATAAATCCATCTTAATAATATATATGTGTGTAGAGAGAGGAGAGAAACATGTGGAGGGAGGGGGGATGCACGTATTGGATCATTTAATTCATAGATTTAATTATATTGTATGGTTTACATTGTATTTACTTTTATTCAATTTAATATTTTTCTTTTAAAGCAAGGCAATGATAAAAAATAATCTTTCTATAGTTACTTTGAAAAATAATTATTTAGATTTATGAATGAAAGATGATGATGATGATGATAAAAGTTATATTTTATTTGTATTGTGATTTTGAAAATAAGTTTAACATGTATATTTAATTTGTAAGAAATCTATCATCAATATCAATCTTCCTAACTCTTTAAAGTGATTTTGAAAAGTCGAAATCTTCTGGCATCGAATATATATAAATGTGTGTGTGTGTGTACCCATTCCTTCTTTTTAGGGCATATATATAGGTCCACTTACACAGTTCCATCTCACATTCAGAGTCCCACCAGAAGAGAAGCAGGCAAAGAAGCTAACTACTATTACTTAAACACTAAAGCAAGCAAGTATAAAAGAGGTATTTTATTAAATGGATTACATATCTGGTCTTCTGCCATAGTCTTCTGCCATACATATATATATAGTTCTACGCAGAAGAGAGGGCATACTTTAATTTGTAATTAAGACTCTAAATAGTACTCTATATATATATTGCTTCATAAACCCTGGAGGAAAACTTGACAAGCAAGCCAGAGACGGTGTCAAGACTTCCTTCAATATAAGTGTATATATATATATATATATATATAAATAAGCCTGCACAGCAGAAGGTGTTTGATTAATCACCTGCAGAAATAAGGAAGGAGAATGAAGAAACACACAAAGGGAAGATAGTATTAGATATGGTTTGTTATGTGTTAGAAATTAATATCTCAATACAAAATCTAAACACTAAGATCTCACCCTCTCTCTGAGTTACTACTTGTCGAGGACAAGGAGGCCATTTTTCTCCCAGGCAGTGAAAACTTCTTGCTGGGTGCCGTAGAGTTTGCCGTCTGGGTCATAGTAGTACTGCGCAATAATAATTAATAGGTTAATTAAACACATATTTCAATAATATATAAAACACATTTTTCCTAAGAATTAAGAAAATAGATGATATATATGATGCAATGTGCTATGGCCAGGGCAAGAACTGTGAGATAGTTTGATCAACAAGTTCGAATGGTATATAGTCCTTAGTTTGCCCAAGGACTATCTGGTTTTGCAGATTTTGGGATCTGCGACTAGGAGATTGGTTCGTTCTAAACGAAAACAGAAGAAGGAAACCAAGGCATTGAATGAGGAGTTTCGTGTTTGATGTTACTGTAATGTGGAAATCTGCATGCTGATATGGTATATCTGAATGATTTTTCTCAAATTGAACAAATCCAGATCAAAGTTTGTTTCTGTGGGAAATTAATAACCCCTAAAATTTCTGCCAAGATTTCAACTTCAACCCTGAGCAGATCGAGCAAAACAAATCAAGAGCGTGGTGTGAAAACTTTTCCGATCAGGTCAGACCAATAACTAGCAAGGAGAGATCAAGAAAAGAGAAACTTTTTGAAGGAGAATGAAGATTCTCATGAGTTCGAACTTTTCTCCGATTTGAACTCTCAGCTGTTTGATTTCGTCAGTGCGAATCTCAATCAGACGAATTTGATCTGAAAATTAAGAACTCGAGCCGATCTGAGAAGTCAAGCTCAGAAAAAGCTTTGTCCTTTCTGTAACGAATTTCAAAAGTGATGATAAATCAGAAAGTTGTGTGATGATGATGAAGGGAGATGATTTACCCTGTAAACCCTTCCAGATTGCATCACACGTTCTTCACAGAGCCAACCTGGAAGCAACCAGCCATAGCCAGGCGAGGTGTTATCGTGAAGAGTGATCTTGGTGTTAGGGTGCAACCGTCGCCGTGGACGGTTCTTGACCTTCTCCGCCGTAGCCAGTGACGATGGAGATGTCACCTGACATTCAATCTTCCTCTTCCCTCTCTCATTGTTGCCGCGGCTACGGCTGCTGTTTCCCTCACCAGAAGCCTCCATGGCTGAGACCTGAGAGAACTTGCAAAGTGAGAGAGAAAGAGAGAGTTGAGTAACGCTGAGCAAAGCAACTTCCTTATATGATCAGGGAAAAGTTGCTAGCTTCTCTATGACAATTATATATTATTACAAATACTTTATTTATTGCGTGAAATCATCTATAGAGAGAAAGTTATCTATATATTCTTTGAGGCCTCATTATGTAAATTTATTTCTTTTGTGCCCTTGTTTATAAAGGTATATTTATATATAGTTTGGCCAAAATTTGATTTTTGTCATACTTTTTTTCTTTGAAAAATAATTTCTCTATTGAGATATAAATTAATTTCTTCTACATTTTACAAGCCTTATTAAGTTATGTAATAAGAAAATGTTATACTCCTCTGGTCCTATTTATAGTATAGAGAGAGAAGACGCTTTTTATTCTATTTATATGGTACTGAGGGAATTTTTTGTATGAATAATGTACAATTTTACCCTTCATTTAATATTGTGTTGACTTTATTTATATGAGGTATAATGTATAGTAAATAGAGATAAAGTTGAAAGGTTATTAATTTTAAATAAAATTTAATAAAATTTAAGGTTTTTCTTGGTTTGTGTGAAACATGTCCAAAATGACTTATAAGTAAGACTAGAAAAGTATTAATTAATCACATTTTACATTATATGTCAACAATGTACGTATTCGTATTTCATGCAAGCCATGCAATTCAGTCAACTTCACTCATAGTGGTTTAATTATTTTTTAAATGACAATTTAATCATATCTTGTAAGAACTTTTATCCAACATGAAAGGATATTCTTTTTGAATTGTAAGTTTTGAAATTTTTATAATATGCATCTTATAATAAATAATAGGGAAAATTAGTTAATTGGTCCTCTAACTTTTAACTTAATTGTAATTTAGTCCTTCAAGTTTAACTCATCACAACTCAGTCCCTAAAGTTTATTATGTTTAACAATTGCACCCTTGCCATTAGTTATCAAACTTAACGCTGTTAAGAAAGTTAACAGAGTTAGTCCTCTCCTCTTCCTCATGATCATTTCTGTTTTCCCCTCATCGGCTCCTTCATTTTTTCGAGGAAATCATTATCAGAACTGGGACCCATCCTTTGAAGTCTTCAAGCCAAGTAGGGCCCCATGATCGATCTCTCTTTCCCTTGGTTCTCATCTTGCTATATGTTTTGAATATGGTCTGATTTCAGTAACATTGCCCTGGGCAAAGAAAGTCTTGCACCATCTTCAGAATTAGATTCTTGATCATCACTGGTTGGAGACACTGAACTTTCTCCTTCACCCTCAGAAGCACCAAGAGGGTCACTTAGAAAGGAGCTTGCAATTGGTGTCACCAATTCTATCTCCAGCTAATTACTACGGTTGACATTGGTAACACCATCTCTATCCCCATGCTGCAAAGTCAGCCCACAGGCAGAGGCAACAATAAGAAATTAAAATAAATTAAAAAATATATATCAATTAATTAATTCAAAGTTCAAATCCAACTACTAGCTCGCACCATTCGTTCGCTTTTTCTTATGTTAATACAAATTGGCTGCACATATTTTCCCTTTTTATCCAGTTTTAAATGAAGGCTTGTATGGCAATAGAACGATCAGTTATAAACATAGCAAGATGAGAACCAACAAGAGAGTGATCGACTATGGGACCATACTTGGCTTGCAGACTTCAAAGGAAGGGTTCTAGTTTTGAGAATGATTTTCGACAAACATAAAGGAGTCGATGAAGAGAAAACAAAAAGGTAAGGAGGAAGAGGAGGGGACTAACTCTGTTAACTTTGTTAACAACATTCAGTTTGATAACTAACAGCAAGGGTGCAATTGTTAAACATAATAAATTTTAGGGACTGAGTTACAATGAATTAAACTTGAAGAACTGAGTTACAATTAAGTCAAAAATTGAAGGACCAATGAACTAATTTTTCCTAAATAATACTAATCAAGTATATAGATAAAGTTTATTTGATATTCCCTGATATGATATTTAATTAAGATTAAAAATGATTATATGTATTGTAATAAATCAAAGTAGAAAACGCTTAAAAGACAAACTTATCGCATGCTAGTAAATAGATTAAGCGTAAATAAATGGACATTAATGATTAAAGAAGAAGCACGTGGATTGTTGTGAAGGGCGTATGTCAAAGAAGCAACTCACTAACGGTGGTTACATTTACAAATATGTAAAATTTGAAGTACGAGGTGGTAATTAATAAAACTTCGAGCCCTAAACTTGTGGGAAATAAAACTGATTTTGGATTTTCCCAAGGTAATGGCAGATTCCTATTGGTTAAAAGGCCCGCATTTACGAACGGCCGTAGCCGTTTCTTGATATCGGAGCTTTGATCCTCTACTACGCAGCACCAATGGTTACTATGCATGCCATCCAATCAGATTGTAATTCTAGGACTTCCTCACTCGTGAGTCGTGACAATGGATATGAACATTGTTACTAGCTGGGGAAATGAAATTAGCAGTACTTGTAGTTTCACCAAATTTAAATCAGGTCCTTGTATTTTTTTTCACTTCTTATTATTTGTTAGTTTTTTTAAATTTCCGTTAATAATCCTTGACACTACCGTTACTTTAAATTGAGAGAGCTAATATGCACTGAACACCTTCTTTAGCTTCTCCATCGCTTCCTTCTCTCTCTCACTGTCTACATCTTAGCTGCACTAATCCCACAATCTTTAACAGCAGATTCAAGCAAATTCAATGTGACATTCGGCAACGTTAGAAGAGCCTTGCTTCCACCATATGAATCAGCCTCCGCTATCGAATTCTGAAACATCACTTCACCGTCAAAAATCTAATCCCCAGCCCGCAATTTTCAACAAAAAAAAAAAACCAAAACTTTCAGGAAGATAAAATTTGAGTTGTTATTAAGACAATAAGCATTTATAATAATATGATGATATGTAAGAAGTTAGAGATGTGAAGGATGATGGAACAGACTTTTGAAGTCTGTCTCTAAACTTTCGAAGATGCTTCTCATTCTCGGTGACTTTGAAGATTCTGTTGATGACTTATTGTGTCTCGTTCATGTCGAGCTTTCAAACATTGACTTCTTTGTGCATGACCTAATTGCCACCTTGATCTTGGTCGCAATAAGTTTGGAAGATGGGAATGGGGTTGGCTTAGAAGGAGATTGAATGGAGGAGGGGGAGAGCAAAGCAGATGGAAGAGGGGTTGCACATGAGGAAGACGATGCTTGGTCAAAATTTAATCAGCGCCACGTTAGCTCTCTTAACTTGAAGTAACGGCAGCTTCAAGGATTATTAACAGAAGGACTGTAATAAAAAAAACTTGCAAACAATAAGGATGGAATAAAAAAAAAACTATAAGACCTGATTTAAAGTTTGGTAAAACTATAACGACTGTCAAATTAATTTTTTGTTACTAGTTGTTATGAATTTATTCAGCTTCTTAGCCATTTAACTCTATATAAAGTTTTAATTTAGTTTTTAAATTTTTAAAAAATATTTTTAGTCTTATAATCCTAAAACCATTAATAAAAAGTAATATTGAGATCTTGAATGTTAATAAAACATTTTAAAATGCTAATCTATTAAGTTTAATAATTTTTAAAACAACCATCATTCAAAAATATTATTTAAGATTAAAAATATATTTTTTGAAGTTAAGAAATCAAGCTGAAATATTGTATGAATTTAAAATACCAAATGTATATTTTTACTATTTATTTTTATATGCACAAGGATAACTATGTGTGGAGAGAGCAGCAAGAGGTTGACTATATTTATCATGAATATGGTAAATTAAGAGTTTTTATCCAATTGGATGCTTGATATTTAATTCACGTAATATTTATTTCTCAGTTACTCAATTATATATGCTTTTCGGTTCTTATTATAAGCTTTATAATTAATTTATGAATAAAAATAATTAATAAATTAATTAATTATATTAAAAACAATAAATATATGAAATATATTTTTGCTTCCAAATATGTTATTATAATAAATAAAAAAGGATGAAAGAGAACTATAAAAAAATATGATAAGAAAGAAATAATTAAGGTAATATTGAAAACAAATAAATAAATATTAAGAAAAATCCAAATTAAAGTTGTTTTGACCAAAAAAAATCCAAATTAAAGTTTATAAGATGTACTATACCTTTTCTAAATTTAAAGCATATGAATAGATCAGGAGGAAGTATTAAAGATACATCAATAGTCCAAATATACCATATAAAAGCATTAAAAAAAACTATTTTACATATTTTATATTATTTTGGAAGCTAATACATGTTCAGGTATTTATTCTTTCTTCGGATCTTAAATATAAAATTATTTTAATTAATTTACAAAATAGAAAGGTTGAAATGGTTTTTTATAATTAATGTGTAGAGAATTTGTTAAGCCTTTCAAAAATAGTCCTGCAATTTAACGCGTTAAAACAAAAATACCCTAATGAATAGTGATATTATAGAAAAAATAATTAACAAAAGATAAAAGGAATCGGACCTCCCAGTTAGTATCAAACGAAGGTTCTCATATGAACCTTACACTTAAGATTAGAGGGAATGAGGGGCTATCAAATTTTAAATATTAGGATTCATTTCTATAGATTTTGATGATATTTTATTAGATTAATAATAAATGTCGATCAATAGGCTAGCTATGAGTAAAAAGGATGATTTTGCTGATGGATTGATCCAACAGGTTGCTACATCTTTTATATATATCTAGGATTTTGTGAATCTAGCTACTAGCTAGCTAATTATAGATTAGTGGTCTAAATCCTTTTCTAATTAGCTATTCTAATGGATTTGTATTATTTAATATGTGCTGTTGATGTTGAATCATTTGATTCGTTTGACAATTAGCAATTAAGGGATTTGAGGATTTTTTTTTTATTTGAGCTTCAAAATGGGAAATTTTGATATAGGCCTAATTAAGATTGAATTAAATAGAGGGGAGAATTGGGGAACAATTAATATGATAGAAATATACATAT